TGAATTGCCTCAGGAAAGGAGCCCCTATAATTCTTTTTGATCACACAATGTCTTTGCCAGTCAAGATTTCATTAATATGTATAGACTTGTCTGTAACAGCAGTTCCAGACTTTATCACTCTGTATTTAATTAACAATAAATATCCCTGTGAGACTCTTTCCTCCATTTCTGATATACACAAGCCTGTTTAAACATTGTATTTGCAGTAGGAAAAATTCTATTGAGAATCAAATTTCTATTTTATAGGCAAAACAATGCATTATTTAAAAAAATGTTTTGACCTACTGTATACCCATTTAACTTAATTTGAAAAGTTTAGACCCTATATATAAAGACTATGAACAAAAACCAGGACATATGTAAATGTTGGGGTCACACGACGCGGATTTGGCACATACCTGATGGGAGAGGTGGCAGTGTGGTATGCTGGAAAGGAGTGAAGGCGTTTTGTCTGAGACGTGGCCTTGGTCCTGACGCTTGCTAGCAGCATTACCTTTGCCCCGGCTGTGGTACTCATCAGCACTGTTATTTTAGAGAAGTCACTCAGCCTCTCTGTTATCCCAGTTGTCGAGGTTGAGGGAGCACCTTCTTGTCCTTACAGTCCTCCTGCCGTGTGAGGACGTGGTGTTCACCCCATTGGCGGCTGCACTGACCAAGCGCCATCTTGGATTGGAGACAGGGCCCTAACCAGGTACCTTGACCTTGGATGTCCCATCCTCCAGAGTGGGGAGAAATAAATTTTTATTTTGTATACATTACCCCACCTCACGCAGTGAGCTGAGACACTGTAGGGTCCACTTTGTTTTATCCTCTTCCCTTAGAGGGGGCATTATGGGCACTGCTTGGTACCCTACTGTTTCTCATTAATGGTCTGGTTTTGCTTGTTGGGTTTTTTTTTTTAGTTTTTTTTTTTTTAATTTGCTTCAAGGGGATTGTTACTGTTCTTGTTGCGCGATGTCCTGTTATATCTCAAAGCAGAAATTCTCTTTCAGTGTTTTTTTTTTTTTTCAGAATTCTTTATTTAATTTTATTTATTTTTCTGTTTTTGAAAAAATTTTATACATTTAATCACTGTGTATCATTACAACATACTATATGAATTTTTCCATCATGGATACACTGCATATTGGTCCAGTCAAAGACATGACCATAAATATTATAGTCAACAGACTTCTTCCCATTTTGGGTCCTTTGAATATTTTTTTTCTATTATTTTAAAATTTTCTATAGGGCATGTGCATGCATGAGAGAGCGGGAGCAGGGAAGAGAGGGAGAGAGAAAGTAAGAAAGTAAGTCTCCAGGTTTAGGACTTGAACCACAGTCAGTTATGTGGGAGTCCAGTGCCTTAACCACCATGTCAACCTGTCAAACCCCTCTTTTAGTGTTTTAAAGTTTTTGTGAAATAATCACAAAAACTTTATTAATTAATTTATTTCCTTTAGATCTGTTCATCCCACCAGTTGAGTTCCTATCCCAGTCATGGCATATTTTGCTGTTTTCCATAATGTATGGATTTATATACTCGTACAGTAAGAGTTCCAGCCATATATTTATACATGTGCTGTCGGGTGAGCTTCTCTGTACAGTTGACCTATTGGGTTGTTAGGAAAGCCATGATGCATTTTTGCATAGAAAAATAGAAAAATACATCATGACTTTCCTGACAACCTGATAAATGGATTTCTGAATTTGTATTGGGTTAAAGGCTTTCCCTTAAATGCAAATGGCAGAACTGATGTAGAAATGCACATATAGGGTATTTATATGATAGTGTTTATTTCTTTTAGATAATCTGAGCTTGTTTTTATCCCAAGGCCCATTTCCTTACCACTTCCTATGCTGTTACTAATTTGTGTTCTCATAATAGTGAAATATTTTAACATTGGGATAAACACTGTGTGTGTGTGTATTTTAGATTTTTTACATACGGTACTTGTGCTCACTGGAGAAAAACAGAGACAGGAAGAGGAAAAGTGAGAAATCACCCCCTGGGGGACGGCCACGCCGCAGTCCTTTCTGCCATTCTCCTCTTGGGAAGGAAGGCATGTGTGGACACATGCCAGGCATGATTTTTAAGCCACCGGGTCTGATATTCAAACTGCGGAGTTGACCATGTGTGACCCAGCACCCTAACCACCACAATACCTGCTGGCTCAAAACACAGTATAACATATGGAGTGTTGCTCGTTGGGCTGTTAGGAAAGCCAGGACACATTTTTGCATAGAAAAACAGAAAAATAAGCAATGAAGATAATTAAGCAAAACTGCAATGCCCAAGCACCAGAGTTGTTTTTCTGAGTTGCCAAGCCTGGGTTCTCTGTCAGTACACAGGTTTGAGAGGTCTGATGGGGCGAGTTCAGTCTCCTGGGCATTTGGGGGTTGTTTCTCCAGGAGACAGTCCCTTGTAGCTCATTCTTCTTGGATCCTCAGATCTCCTCTAGCTTCTTCTCAGTCATTCCTTTTTCCCTTTGAGTACTCGTAGCCTTTTGAGTCTCACCAGCTGATGTACACAGAAACTGTTTTCCAGGTCTTTCTTTTTCTATTTATGTTTCTTTAGGGCAAGAGCATTATCTTACTATTCCTTCTTAAGAAATTTAGGTGCCCAGTGACGGTGTGTGATTGAATATCTACTATGAAGTGAAGAATCTATACAGAAAGCTAAGAGGCCCATTTCCTTCACATTTTTTAGTGTTTTGTTTCTCTTCTCTGTGTGCATCTCTAGTTCCTTTGAAACTATTAGTAATAGAAATGTGTTGGAATTTTACCCCATTACCTAGACCGTTGTCTCCCCATCACAGCTTGTGGAACTGACCTCAGAGCTTCTACCTCTTCATTTCCCACGTCTTCATTTCTTCCATGGTTGCATGCCCGGCTGTAGTGTGTTTTCACTTAAACACAGGGACCTCCTGATTTAATGGTTGTAAATAGTCTTGCATTGCAGTATCTCAGTGCAAATGACCTTTGTGCTTCTTTGTTCCCAAAAGCCTGGTTACTCAGGCTAGCTGCAGTGGCGTGGTGGGAACTCGGCACTCTGCGGTGCTGGCCCCACACAGGAAGGCCCTGGGTTTGCACCCAGAGTCTCCCTGTGCTCACCAGGTGCACAAGCGCATGTCCATGTCATGCACTGGCTGAGGCTGGAGTGCGTGGCCTGAGGACCCTGTTGCGGGTGACTCTCTTTTTTTCTCTCTGTCTCTCTCACTAATGGAAGAAATAAAGTTTTAAAAAATGCTTAGGATGGGGAATGGAGTGGCCAGTGGGCTGCAGAGCAACATGCCTAAGTTTTATTGTCACTCCTGTGATCCATACCTCACCCACGATTCTCCATCCGTGAGAACACACCACAGTGGTAGGAAACACAGAAAATGTGAAGGACTTCTATGGGAATGGATGGAAGAGCAGGCTCAGAGCGATTTCTGAATTTGTATTGGGTTAAAGGCTTTCCCTTAAATGCAAATGGCAGAACTGATGTAGAAATGCACATATAGGGTATTTATATGATAGTGTTTATTTCTTTTAGATAATCTGAGCTTGTTTTTATCCCAAGGCCCATTTCCTTACCACTTCCTATGCTGTTACTAATTTGTGTTCTCATAATAGTGAAATATTTTAACATTGGGATAAACACTGTGTGTGTGTGTATTTTAGATTTTTTACATACGGTACTTGTGCTCACTGGAGAAAAACAGAGACAGGAAGAGGAAAAGTGAGAAATCACCCCCTGGGGGACGGCCACGCCGCAGTCCTTTCTGCCATTCTCCTCTTGGGAAGGAAGGCATGTGTGGACACATGCCAGGCATGATTTTTAAGCCACCGGGTCTGATATTCAAACTGCGGAGTTGACCATGTGTGACCCAGCACCCTAACCACCACAATACCTGCTGGCTCAAAACACAGTATAACATATGGAGTGTTGATCGTTGGGCTGTTAGGAAAGCCAGGACACATTTTTGCATAGAAAAACAGAAAAATAAGCAATGAAGATAATTAAGCAAAACTGCAATGCCCAAGCACCAGAGTTGTTTTTCTGAGTTGCCAAGCCTGGGTTCTCTGTCAGGACACAGGTTTGAGAGGTCTGATGGGGCGAGTTCAGTCTCCTGGGCATTTGGGGGTTGTTTCTCCAGGAGACAGTCCCTTGTAGCTCATTCTTCTTGGATCCTCAGATCTCCTCTAGCTTCTTCTCAGTCATTCCTTTTTCCCTTTGAGTACTCGTAGCCTTTTGAGTCTCACCAGCTGATGTACACAGAAACTGTTTTCCAGGTCTTTCTTTTTCTATTTATGTTTCTTTAGGGCAAGAGCATTATCTTACTATTCCTTCTTAAGAAATTTAGGTGCCCAGTGACGGTGTGTGATTGAATATCTACTATGAAGTGAAGAATCTATACAGAAAGCTAAGAGGCCCATTTCCTTCATATTTTTTAGTGTTTTGTTTCTCTTCTCTGCGTGCATCTCTAGTTCCTTTGAAACTATTAGTAATAGAAATGTGTTGGAATTTTACCCCATTACCTAGACCGTTGTCTCCCCATCACAGCCTGTGGAACTGACCTCAGAGCTTCTACCTCTTCATTTCCCACGTCTTCATTTCTTCCATGGTTGCATGCCCGGCTGTAGTGTGTTTTCACTTAAACACAGGGACCTCCTGATTTAATGGTTGTAAATAGTCTTGCATTGCAGTATCTCAGTGCAAATGACCTTTGTGCTTCTTTGTTCCCAAAAGCCTGGTTACTCAGGCTAGCTGCAGTGGCGTGGTGGGAACTCGGCACTCTGCGGTGCTGGCCCCACATAGGAAGGGCCTGGGTTTGCACCCAGAGTCTCCCTGTGCTCACCAGGTGCACAAGCGCATGTCCATGTCATGCACTGGCTGAGGCTGGAGTGCGTGGCCTGAGGACCCTGTTGCGGTTGACTCTCTTTTTTTCTCTCTGTCTCTCTCACTAATGGAAGAAATAAAGTTTTAAAAAATGCTTAGGATGGGGAATGGAGTGGCCAGTGGGCTGCAGAGCAACATGCCTAAGTTTTATTGTCACTCCTGTGATCCATACCTCACCCACGATTCTCCATCCGTGAGAACACACCACAGTGGTAGGAAACACAGAAAATGTGAAGGACTTCTATGGGAATGGATGGAAGAGCAGGCTCAGAGCCTGTCTGATAAAATAACGGCTGCATTTCAACAAGGGAAGGTACTTCCTACTCCATTCTCTGCTCCTGCTCCTGTAGGGGTGATGATCCCACCTTGCCCCAGTCTCCTGGGTCCTCCTCACCCTGTCACAGTGCCAGCACTCCATATGGGGGGCCCTCCTATGATGCCAGTTGCCCCAGTCTCCTGGGTCCTCCTCACCCTGTCACAGTGCCAGCACTCCATGGGGGGCCCTCCTATGATGCCAGTGATGGGCCCTCCTTTTCCTGGGATGACGCCAGTAGGATCTGCTCCTGGAATGAGGCCATCATGGAAGGCCACATGCCCATGATACCTGCCTGGGGCCCTGATGATGAGACCTCCTGCCTGGCCCATGATGGTGCCCTCGGCCAGGAATAACTCGGCCAGACAGATAAGGTTGGAGAGAGGCCTCTTTCTGTCAGTTTTATATCAGCTTGTTCTGCTTCACCAGGACATCACGGTGCTGTGACTCTGGGTGTTTCTAACAGCATATAGAGGAAGACTTCCTTCCCCTTCCTATTAAAACAATGAAATGTAAGAGTAGTTTTGGAGGAGAGAAGTGGAACAAAAAAGTACAGTTTTCATTTGTATTGTGAAATGTGAAAATAAAATTGTCAACTGTTTTAGTTAAAAATAAAAAATACGTAGGACATTCCATGTCTCTCGGTGCTCATACCGGCTCGTGTACAGGTAGTTACGTGCCCTGGAGAGTTTTACACTGCTGCTGATGGCGTGGGTGTGGGATAGAACTGTACAATCCAGTTGAGAAATGTTAGATAAAAAACTTCTGAAGGCCCAACTGTGGTGGTGCAAGTGGGAGGTGTCACTGGGAGGCTGCAGCTGCATGGGAGGTCTGTGCTCAGTCCCCAGACCAACCCAGATAGGCCGGAGATATCGGGTCATCAGAAAAGTCATGATGTGCTTTTCTAAGCAAAACTGTGTTATGACTTTTCTGATGACCTGGTAGCGCATACCTGTTAATCCTGGACTCGGGGAGACTAAAGCAGAGGACTACGACATGCCAGGACCTTGTCAAAAAAACATGCCGTTCTGTCCCTTCCCCTCTTCCTCTCTCATAAAAGAATAAACAGCAACACAACAGAAAAGCAAAACCAGCAACCAAAAAACCAACCTTAACAAAATCCCTCAGATATGTTATCTAAGTCTTTGGCCACAGGGAAAAGCATATTGGTTATGAGCTGTAAATATCCCTATGATTTGGGGGTATTTTAATTTTTTTTTTTACTTATTCGTTTCCCATCCATCCTTCATTCTGTCCATCCTTCTACTCATCTATCCATTAAATACTCAGTGAGGTAAAGTTACAAAAATAAGTGATGTTTCAAGTGTGCTTATTTATAGGCTAGTAAAGAACAAGACCCATAAATAATTGTAATTCAGAAAAAAATCATTGTAATTCAGTGCAGTGACAGCAGTAACAGAAATACCTGTGAATTTTAATAACATTGAAGATAGTGTGATAAGTTTGGTCTGGGAACATCACAGGCTTCATTTTTTTCCCCTAAGGATTGACACAAGACAACATTATGCATACACACGCTGGGACTCTTATTTCCTTGCTATCCATTTAGAAGAGGTTAAAGTGTTGTAATCATAATTTCTTACATTTTTATTTTTTGATATCTCATATTCCCTTTTTCCTTTCCATTGCTGTTGTACAACTTGGTTTCCAAGGCATAATTTTTGCTTTTACTGGAGGGTTTTTCATAAGTTAGAGTAGCACAATGGTTCCTTTCTTAAGGAAATTTGTTAATTACTTGGTTGAATGATAGAGATACTCAAGTGCTGGCATAAAATACTCTTATTCTGAAAGATACATATGCAAATCTTTATAGAAGCAATGAAATAAATGCCCAAAGGGTTATTTACAAACCAGTGATATTAGCTATGCAGTCTTGCTCATAAATTGACTTTGACATTTTTTATTTATTGTGCAGTAAATTTTTATACCTTTATTTAATCTTATCTTTTTAGTTCTTAAGACTTTTTATTTGAGACTTTTTACTTAACATTTCTCATTAGTCTTATCTTTTTAGTTCTTAAGACTTTTTATTTGAGGGACCAGCAAATGGCGTAATGGTTACGTCTCTGTACTCTTAGATAGTCGACCATGGTTCAAGTCCTGCATCCAGCGGCTTAAAACTCATGTAGGGTGAATGTGTGTGCGTGCATATGTATGTGTCCAAAATCCCGAGAGGAGAAGGGATTGAGGCATGGCTATCCCTCCCGGGTAGTGATTTCTTGCTTTCTGTCTCTGTCTGCCTGACGAGTGCACACGGCCTATAGCAAAAATCTCTCAGAAAAATAAGGAGTTTTTGTTTGAGAACTCTGATTTTAGAATTAGATTTTTTGTTTGTTTGTTTTCAAGAGATTTTTGCTTTAGATGCAAAAATTGCTGGAGAGACAGAGAGCGATGAGAAACCGAAAGCAAGAAATCAACCCCCCCGCCCTCGGAGGGGATGGCCATGCCGCAGTCCCTTCTCCTCCATTCTTCTCTCAGGATTTTGGGTACTCACGCACATGCACCCGGTGCAAGTTTCAAGCTGCTGGATCCAGGACTTGAACCGAGGTCCGCTATGTGCGAGTCCAGTGACATAACCATTACACCATCTGCTGGTTCCTAGAATAACATAATTATTTTTTTAGAATTATTTAATTGAAGTATATATGCCTGGTCATCACACGCGCCCTATAGCGAAAACCCCTCCAAAAAAAACAAGCAAACAAAAAAAAAAACATCTTTTTTTAAAAAATGGGAACAGCAGATGGCGTAATGGTTACATTTCTGGTCTCTCTCTCTCTATATATATATCTATAGATACTGATATATAGAGAGATATCTATATCTCTGTCTATATCTATCTGGTCAGCGAGAGAGAGACAGAAAGTGAGAAAAACAAGCCGCCAGGTCTGGGACTCAAACTGCAGTCCGCCCTGTGGGAGTCCAGTGGATGTCCCTACTGGTCATTCATTTGTTTATTCATTGGCTGGTCAGTAATAAATTATAATCTGGAATGTTTGTAGTTGAGAATTCAAAGAAATAATGTATTTATATGAATTTGGTTAAAACTATTGTTCATGTATTACTCCTCTGCACATAGTCAGAACTAGGAGTTCTGATGGAAGCAAAGGGCTGTTTACCACAAACATTATTCACTTTAGTGAAGAAATAAAATATGTATTAAAAACTAACAAGCTAGATGAGAACTCCAGGATAATGAAGAATATGCCACTTGTATGTTATCAGAAGATAAATAAGAGTAAATGCCGGGACCAGCAGTTAGCGTAATGGCTATGTCGCTGGACTCCCATGTAGTCGACCACAGTTCGAGTCCTGGACTCGGTGGCTTAAAACTCACGCCGGATGCGTGTGTGTGCATGCCCAAGATCCCAGGAGGAGAATGGAGGAGAAGGGATTGCGGTGTGGCCATCCCCCCTGGGGGTGATTTCTCGCTTTCTGTCTCTCTGTCTGTCTCTGTCTGTCTGGCGAGCGTACACACCCTATAGCAAAAACCTCTCCAAAAAAAAAGAGTAAATGCCAAATGTATTGTCCAGAGGGAGGTTTAGAACAAGAAGAAAGTAGGCTAGACTAGAATGGTTATAGAAGCATCTGGAATTTACATTGGAAAAGGTGTGATTCAGGTAGGTAGGCTACGATAGTGGCTGAGAGGACTGACTGGAACCAGATTGCTTGGGTTAAAATCACATCCGTAACATATTAGCTGTGTGACTTTGGAAAAATTACTTAATGTCTCCGTGCCTTCCTTTCTGTAAAATGGGAAAGGTACTATTTTTCTTTCAGGGCTGCCTTCTAAAGCTTTATAGAGAGTGTGTGGAATGCTCATTCAACACAAGTCTAGAGGCAGGGATATACCGGGATTTTAAAAGGAGATAATAAAAAATCAGCCGTCTTGTGGCATAGGGTTGTGTAGGCATTATTTGTGCTGTGTGTGGATGTGGTATCAAAGAAGGGGATAAAAATGTCCTTTTTCTCTCTAATCTTTTTGTTGAAAATCTGTTAGCACTACAATCTCATATAGGGTCGAGGTTTATAATGTACAATGATACGATTCATGAACATTTCGGTACATTTCAGTAGTTTTGTAGTTGATAAATTCACATGTCATATATTTTTATTTTTGTCCTGAAAGTACTCTTTCTGGTGTAATTAATAGACCACAGGAGATTTGTCAGGGTCTGGTTATCTTTAAGTATTGTGAAATAAAGGCCTCATTATTATACTCTCCATTGGTTCTGTGTCAGTCCAAGTAACAGAAAGTAGAAAGTGAAATTGTTTTTCTCTCAAATTCCTTCCCATTTGGTTGCTATGGATATGTAGTTTTTGGACATCCCTTGTATGAAAATAGTCCTCATCAAGCTTATTTGACCCTTAGGTCTCAGATCTCAGATCTTTCAGTAGCTTCTCACTTAATAAATATTCTCCCTCATGAGGTGAAATATTTGCACCCTGAACTTGCAGTTTGCTTGATTACTATAAATGAAAGTTGCATAGTTCACTGCATTCAACCAGGTTGAGCCCCCATTTTCCTTTGGTACAATATTACAAATATGAACATCATCAAAAAAATAAAAAATAAGACATACACATTTGTAAATACTTGTAATGTGTAATGTCAGATATTGATTATAAAACTTAATAACTACATACATGTTTTGTTTGTAATTTTTTTCCCCATCTTTATAAACTTATGAAGTGTCCTTAAAAAGTTAATGGAAAAAGTGTATAATGAAAAAACTTTGCCTGGATTACATTTTTTTTTTTGGCACCAAAATTAACTTTTGCTTTATTCCATTTTTTCATATCTGCTTTCACAAGTCTCCTTGCTATAGGCCATTGTTTTGATGATGCTTTTTTTCCCTTGAGGCAAGCATAGATATCGTTCATTATTCTGAGGACCTTTCGTGTCTCCTGTTCACAACTGGGGTCTTCTGTCCAAGAAGCCAGTAGCAGTGGTGGTGGTGGTAATGGAGGAGGCCAATCTTCACACTTGAGATTGCTCACCTGCTGTCATCCCTTGTTTGGTTGATAGAACGGCTTTTGTTAGTTGTTAAACGAACTTTTCTAGAAGTTCTTCATTGCTTTTCCTTTGGAATTTGTGGCTTTCCCGTAAACTTGAATCATTTTCCAAACTAGTTCTCTGATGTAGTCCAATTGTCTGCTTGAATTTAAGAACTTACTTTTGAACTTGATTTTAAGTATTTGGGAGTAAGACAATGCCTTTTGGAAATTGTTGTTTCTTTCTACCTCATACGTCAGCACATCACGTT